ATTCCTAGTCAGTGTCGATGTTTACACTGCTGTGCCTAACACAGATGATCTGGATAGATTCGGGTGATTGTCAATTGCAATGATGGCTTTGGTTGGGTCTGCTTCTTCATTGTATGTCCACGGACTCATTCTGACAGCACTTCAGACCGCAGCTGCATGCCCCGAGCTTGTGTACCATGCACCATGGTGTTATTATTGTACAGACAGCACTTCACACAGCAGTACGCTGTAGTCGACAAACATTCATTTTGGTTAAATGCGGGACAAGGGGGGTGATTCTGCTGCTGTAGTCGATTTGTAGTGTGTGGGCGTGTAGTTCAGTTGTGAGCATGCAAACGTGCTGCAGGGATTGCAGGTGTACCTCCTCGGGCTTGCGTACCCTTTTCTTGCTAATAGTATGTGTGCTCTTTAGATCTTCTGATGGCTCTAGCATTTTGTGACCAGGTACGTACCGAGTCTTTGCTAGATTGTGGGATTAGCAACTGACACGAGTTTAATGTGAACAATAACAACAATAACAACAACAACAACAACAGTCGGTACGGTACCATAGGCCGTGGGTATCCAACCTGGTGTTCTCCGCGAGGATTCTGCACTGTGGATATTTTTGTACACCCCTCTTTTGTTGTTACCACATCGGACGCTACTGCTACTTGGTGATGCGGTTTCATGCTTCGCTTGGCCAAACGAAGGAGGTTGTCCTGGACCTCTCCTGCAACAGTTATCAGTTTCCGACCAAAGCTCGAAATTCTGCAAGGATCAGCACACCCTTCAACGACACCGTATGCACCGCTCGCGGGTCAGTTTTTGGCACGACTCTTCTCTCTTCACCAACCCTTTGGGGTGTCGGCTACAGACCCTCCGCAGGTTCATCGAGAGAACGCATGCTGCGAGTGGGTCATGTTGGCCACGTTTTTCCTTTTGTGTACATCTTTTTTCATTCTGCCAAGTGTGTTAGCCCAGATAGAGGTGTGACAACGACCTGTGAAAGCAAGATCCTATTGGAACCCTTGTGTGTGGAGCATGGTGGAGTGGCGCAGCCTCCAAGTCTCCAAAACGTGCTGATTTCAAACCGTAACCCTGCGGGTCATCGGACTGATCTGTTGCTGCCGTACCTCTCAGAGCCCTATCTTCGACAGGGACACAGATGGTGTCAATCTTCATGGAATGCCCACCTTGCGGTCCTGCTCCAGGCCCTGTGTGTATCGCGATGGCTCGTGAGGTGGTGGGATGCCGTAGGTCCCTTTCCCCTGCAGAGGAACGCCTGCTGCAGAATCCCCGGAAGGTGGTTCCACTGCAAATTACTTGAAAAAAGAGTGCGGCACCTACAATATTATCCTTTTATTCCATATACCATTAGGGCCAATGCAGGTGGACGCCGTTGCAGTAGCGGTCTGCCAGGCCTCGTTGCTTGACGCACGGAAGAATGCGGATGTGGAACTTCACAAAGAAGGGGGATCGCCGACGTTCAAGTAGGGTTCGATGATGTCAAACATAGGTGCCGTAACCCTGGCCATCGGTCAATGCATATTTTCCACAGGTCCCGGTGACGGAGAAGGCTTGTGGAACAAATGCACCGGTATTTGACGCACAGATGATGGCGTCGTCAGAATGCGTCCGGCGCGAGGAAATCGATCTGTCCTGCTGTACGGTGAACCGACACAGGGAGATAATGAGCAAAGCAGCACAATCCCCAACAGTAGCAGCCCCTGTTGTTCTCACATTTCACGCCCACCTGCTTGTGAATTTTCACACAGGATCTTAAGACCAGCAGGGATTGCACAGACATCACGACCCGATCTACACGCACCAGAGGCAACAAGGACAACAGCAGCAAGCATGCCCCGCACGCAGAGCATCGATATCAGCGGAAATCACCCGGAAGGCAAGAAGCGGGGCCTCATCGAGGTATGCATGCCGCCCAGCAACTCACCTTTCCCCGGGTTGGAGTGTGACCTCCAGACGTTCTTGACACCCCCACTACAATAGTTGGCCGTGTGTGTGCAGTCGAGGGACGATTCGTGCGATGGGCGGCGGAGAAGGGCGTCCTACTTGGCCTCTGCGGCGTCCGCGTGCGCACGGGACTCGGCCAGCTTCCGCTGGAGGTCGAGAGTGGTTGCACCCGCCGCTTCCACGACCTTGGCCTTCTCGGCGGCGTTCGTCTGCTGCTCTTTGTAGAGATCTTGCAGCTTCAGGCCGCGAGAAGTACCATGGAGAAGGTCGGAGGCGAGGATGACCGCCCGCTTTTCGGCCTCGTGCATTCCCCCCTCGGCGGCGTCCCAAGCAGCGCGCATGTCGATCTCGTGGTCCTGTGCCTTCTTGAAGACGAAGATCGAGGCCTGCGTCGTAGGAGGGCTTGTGGAGGACCGGCACCTCCTGTTTCATGGCCTTGAGCGCCGCGGACGTGAAGAGCGTCCGGGCGTGGGGTGTTCCGGAGGTGACGCCGCTGCCGGACTCCTGCATTTTAAGAACGACAGCAGTGTTGGGAGCGGCGGAGAACAGAGAGCGCATGTTTGCCCGCTTTGAGTGATACAAGCTGCTGCTACACGTATGTAGGTGCTCCATCTTGCGGATGACGTGCGTGTGCATTGCACCGGCCTGCACACACACGTCATCCGCAAGATGGAGCACCTACATACGTGTAGCAGCAGCTTGTATCACTCAAAGCGGGCAAACATGCGCTCTCTGTTCTCCGCCGCTCCCAACACTGCTGTCGTTCTTAAAATGCAGGAGTCCGGCAGCGGCGTCACCTCCGGAACACCCCACGCCCGGACGCTCTTCACGTCCGCGGCGCTCAAGGCCATGAAACAGGAGGTGCCGGTCCTCCACAAGCCCTCCTACGACGCAGGCCTCGATCTTCGTCTCAAGAAGGCACAGGACCACGATATCGACATGCGCGCTGCTTGGGACGCCGCCGACCGGAAGCTGCACGAGGCCGAAAAGCGGGCGGTCATCCCCGCCTCCGACCTTCTCCATGGTACTTCTCGCGGCCTGAAGCTGCAAGATCTCTACAAAGAGCAGCAGACGAACGCCGCCGAGAAGGCCAAGGTCGTGGAAGAGGCGGGTGCAACCACTCTCGACCTCCAGCGGAAGCTGGCCGAGTCCCGTGCGCACGCGGACGCCGCAGAGGCCAAGAAGGACGCCCTTCTCCGCCGCCTCTCGCACGAATCGTCCCTCGACTGCCCCCCGCACGACGACGTCGAGCTGACCAAACTCCTGGATGAGCTTGAGACGTGCCTCAAGAAGGTCAACGGGCTTCGGGCGCAGTGGCACAGATACCTTCGCGTGCTCGAGTGGCACTACACCGGCGACCTTGACTACGTGAGCTCGTCCCTCCAGAGCTTGGCATCCTCGGACGGTCTCTTGCCGCCCCACGTCCTGGCTGTGCTGTCTGCGGAAGACGCCAAGTGCGCCCAGGACACGGGCAGGGCCCGGGCGGCAGAGCTGCACCTCTCTGCGGAGGACAGGTACCGGGGAATAGTGGACGAGGTAGGCACTCTGACTCCGTGCCTCGGCACCAGACCATCGATCGAAGCGCGCGAACTGGGTCTGGCCGAGGAAAAACTGGTGAGGGTATCGGCGATGGTGTCGGCGTTCAACCTGTTCCGCACTGCAGAGACGTACAAGAAGATGGATGCGCAGCGAGCCTGTAACGAGGACAACCAGGCCATGTCCGACGTTTCGCAGTGCGAGGAGCTCCTTGCGGAAGCGGAGGTGCACGAGCAGGGGGCTCTGGTGAGTGTCATGGATTTCTTGCTTGTCTGTGCGCGCCAGCAGTACTGACTAACATTCGTGCGCACCTTGTTTACGAAGGAGTACAATGAACGTCGTCGCATTCCCTTTTGCCGTGCCCCGTCCAAACCAACAAGGAAATGCTGTAAATAGTCCGTTGTTCCACACGAGCAAGGGCAACAAACCCAAATGATTTGCAACTGGTGCCTGCGCAAATTGTAAAGTACCCGCGCCTGTCTCCGCCTTGCATGTTGGCGTTTCGTCCCTCTTCTCCTTCACTTCACTTCAGGCTGACCAGAAGGAGGCCGAGCAGGCCGCGTCCGAGACGCTGCAGGACACCGAGAAGGTCGGGGCCGAGATGAGCGACGTCGAGAAGCGGTTTGTCGACACTGCCGACGACGACAAGGCCATCAAGGAACTCGTGGCCGAGCCCCGAGAAGCCTGGGACGAGGCCATGTTGACGGTGGCTCGCACCAAGCAACACTTCAATGACTCAACAGTGTTGCGGACAGGATGCGTGTGGCCGTGATGGTTTATTGTCGTGTTTCTCGCTCTATTGCTGGTTGTAATTGCTGCTTGATTAGTCTATCTAGTCGCCCTGATATTTTTGCTCATCGTATTCTGTTGTTTTGTGTTTGCAACAAACCAATGAATCAAGTGCAACGATAGGTTCTCTTCAACAGGGACAGGAAAATGTACTCGGACGCTGCTGCTCTGCAGTCACATAGCTTACTTACAGTCGTCTGCGGTCAACGACCAGGCGTTTTACAACGTGTCATCAGTTCAGTGTATTTTTTTGATGTTCGTGGGCACTGACTACTACAGTAGCAAATGTAGTTCTTGCTTGACTGTCTTCAGGCTTCAGTCAGTGGTGTATTCGGGTCAAGGTTCCACCTGTTTTTCTTTGCTTGCTCGCATGGACCTGTTAAAATATATTGCCCTGCTCACGCAGGGCTGCCTCCAGTTCGAGGCCTGCTTTCCTTCGAACGAGGGTGCGTGGTTGGTCGCGCCGAACGAAGTGTTCTCCAAATCAAACAGCAGAAGACTTGCGTTGCGCGAGCTGTCGGTGTGTGGCTTTGTTTGCCGAGGCCTTTGTCGAACTACTTACGAGATTTGCCGAGACTCTATTATTCTAGTGGTCATCGTGGTTCTCAACGTGTCTACAGCCTCGGCCTCTGCCTGTATGTCAATACCACTTATCTAGTCTTGGTATCCATTTTGATCGGCGGGGTGAAGAAAGAGAAGAGTAAAATACTGCTGCTTTATGCATGTACTGCTGTTGTGTGCATCCGCATTGACCTGATGATCCAGAGAGTGATTGGTGGGTTAGTCTAGCGATGATTGGAGCAGCGAGTAAATATGCCGCAGAGAGACGCGGTGCTGAATTGAGATCCGTCCGCGCGTCTGGTTGCTCCTCGTCCTGAAAAATCCCAACGGAGAAAAGAGGGAGAGAGCTTGGCGAGAGTCTCCTCGTCTTTGCGTGGAGTCCTCTTCTTCTAAATCATGTCATTACAATTAACTACCCCGGTGTGCCAACCACTCTTTTGTTGTGCGTTGGCTAGAGTCCGGTGGTCGTGGACATCGAAAAGGTGTTTGGGAGCGATCCGTTCAAACTGGCTGTTTCTTCACGCCTGCCTACCCTACAGCCGAGCAGCAGTACAAGAGGCGATTTCATTCTCGTACCTTTCGCGAGCTGAGAGAAAGTGGTCGCGGTCAGTAAAAACCGCTTTCATGTAACCGCGGTCAAGTTTTCTTGACTGTAGTTTTTTTGTTCCACAGCAGAAACCAATCCTATTCGGAACCAGTAGTTGTTCGGGTGGAAAAATTTGGGGGGTCGGGGGGGGAGGTGGGTGGTGGACGCGAGAAGGATATATAGCGGGGTATCACGCCGAACCAAGACAAAGACGGAAAGACAAAGGGTGTTGGTGTTATATCGCCAACGAATTGGGGTAGTTTTTGAGATACGGTATAGTTAGGCTTGAATACGTAATACGAAGCACAAGACCATTGACTCCATCACCGATAAGGATACCACAATGAGGACCAAGTACAGCAGTCAGTCGTGGGCGGCAGAGGGCGGGTTTTATGTACCAGGTTGGTTCACGCTCACCTTGCGGGAGCCCCCTCGGTACAAAGCACAACACAACTTGACTAGATTATTCCATCTTTGCCAAGAGGTTTCACCTGCCGCATAGGGTACCGACGACTGAACAAAGGAAACTACATATACTTGTAGCAGGCCAGTCTGCCTACGGTGGTCTGGTGCAAAAGGAACACAACAGCGGCAGCAGCAACAATAACGCCAACATTGGAACACCCGCCAACCATACTACTACCAACATGGAGGAGAAGAGCACACGAGACATGACATAACGTGACATGGCACGGGATAGGATATCCCCAACCGACACACGAACAATCGCAAAAGAATACAATATAATATTAGATAGATACTCTAGGCCGGATACTACGGGTCGGCGGGGGGGGCGCGTGTTCCCAAAGGAGCCAGCTAGTCAAATGTGAACGTGCGACAAGGATCTCTCATGCAGCACCTGGGGCAAAACTAACCTGGGATCTTCTCAAGGAAAGAAAGATGCACACAGAGAAAGAAGAAAGCACAACAACTATAAAGGTTTCCAGTGACACTTGTATCGCCAAATTGTAACAAGAGACAACACGACATGGCAGGGGCACGGAGAACGATGATACAATGGTGCTTGGTTCGCGTCAGCCAGCCAACAGGTACGGGTCGTCGGGGACCGGAATGCCGAAGTAGCGGCACCTCCGCTTGAACTCCATCACCGCTCGCGAGTACACCATCACGTCCTTCTTGTTAGCCTGCTCGATCACTCTGCGGACGCAGCATCAGTGAGCAGCATTAGCCAGCAGAAATCGTGAGTAAACTACCAACACGAGCAAGCAGCACCAGCAAGCAGCAAGCAGCAAGCAGCAGCACCAGCAGTCGACAGGTAAATTATGACGTCGATGGACCGACAAAGCCGGTAGACAAAGGTGCGGAGGCGTGAATTGCGTCGTTGTTGTCGGTTTGCAAGCAGGACACACAGCGAGAGAGAGAGAGAGAGAGAGAGAGAGAGAGAGAGAGAGAGAGAGAGAGAG